AAAAAGAATGCTCACTTTCAGGCTGCCACTGATTCCAGAGCTGCTGAAAAGATGTCAAGTCCCAGAACTGCTCCTTTTCGAAATCTCCAGAACTGAGCTTGTGCATGACAGTGCCTGTTACACTGTTTCTACTTGTTTTGTTTTGCCTGCTTGTGGAATGTTTTCTAGGGAGAATGCTATAAGCAAAAAGCCCTTTTCTTGGTAAGATGCGCCTCTGTTAATTTGGTGAAATGTCACAGATAAAGATTGTGTGTGTGAGACATTGTGTATTTGCGTGCACACATGCGCACGTGCGTTCATCAGCCTGTGCTAGTTTCGCTCCTTCGATTGCCGCCTTCAACAATGGAACAGGATGACTTTTTCTTCCCACTCATTCCTCTTCCGGCAGTCATCCTCCTGGATGACTTAAGGAGACCATGCTCTTTTAGCAAAACATCACATAGGAAATGCCTATGGAATGGCTAATTTGGTAAGTGTGAAAGTTGGGTTTTGTCGTTGTTGTTTTCTGTTTGTTTTTTGTTTTGTTTTGTTTTTAGATATCTTACCTTGAGCTCAGACCACTGTGAAGGCCTTTTTTAATTCCCCTACTCTCCCTACCAGACCCAGGGGCTCGAAACCCCCAACAGAGAACAAAACAGAGCCGAAGTAGGACGGAAGAACTGATCCACCTCACCAGAAAAGAAGGAGCCTTGAGAGTAGACAGCAAAAGGGTATAAAAGAGAACGTATGGCCATGGGGGTGGGTGGAAGTTGAGGGAGAAAGGGTTGGTCAAAGGCAGAAGGCATTTCTCTGCCAACCGCAACGCTGGGATATGCATTCACAGTAATAAGAGAAATCGGGGGAAAGTTGCTGAGAGAACAAGAAACAGGGCCAGCATCCCTCCTGGGCCCTGATTGGTTGAAACACATGACCGACCAGATTCTGTGTAAGCTTGATAAGCTTATAGTAAGTGCATTTGGTTTATGGTCTATACTATCCTTTTCCTTTCAAGACAGGAAAACTGAGGTCCTGGCCGTAAAAGTAGAAATCAGGACGGAGCCATTTTCAGGTACTTCTCATTGACTATTTTAACTAAATTAAATTAACTAAATTATTAGTTAATTAACTAATTTATTAGTTAATTACTAATAAATGGATTAGGGTCACTTCCAAAAGAGAACAGAAAGAGAAAGAAAAAGAAAGCACAAGACCAGAATATCTTTGCCTTGGAGGACTTCCTCATGGTATAGAAGACATAGCATAAGTTACATTTCAGAGCCGGATAAATCAAATCTGCGCCCCCACCCCCCGCTGTGCTAGATGAGAGAGGGGGAATCAGGTTGGGCTGTCTCTCAAGGTAGTTCCCCAATGCCTACAACTACAAGTCAGTATGATCTATTCCAAGCCTCCAATCCGCTCCAGTTCGCCAGCCAAACATGTGGGGATTTGGCTGCTGTCCAATAGTCAGGTAAGTGAGCAGGTAGATAAGCAATAGCCAAAGTGGGGTGAGTAAACCAAGGAGATCAACTTTAGATACTTAAAATGTGAGGCTATGACAAAAAGTGTGATTTAAAAAAAATCCTGGGAATAACTGAAAATGTGGAGTGAGAGGCTGGGTATAGAGTTGAGAGAAATTAGAAGTGATGCGATATATTTATTCTGGTGGTAGTGATGTGGGAAACAAAGACAGAAGGAAATGGTGAATAAAATTAAATTTCCTTATTACCAGCAGCCCATGGACAAATACTCGAGGCGGGCACAGTGGAACATTTCTCTAGAAGCCTCCTACCGTCTTAATGTGCATGCTTTGCTAGAGGGAGAAACAATCTTAGCCTGACAATAGCAAGGCCTCCGGGATCCTAGCAGATGAAAATACCTTTGGAAACTTCCCCTTGCCTTTACCTCCCCCAACTCCCAAGTATATAATCAGTCACTCCTCACAATCCCAGGGTAGCTCTTTCTGTCCACGGGCCCTGTCCCCATGCTTTAATAAAATCACTTTTTTGCACCAAAGACATCTCCAGAATTCTTTCTTGGCCATCGGCTCTGGACCCCTACCACCACTCCAAAACCACATCAGTAGTAGCAAAAAAAAAAAAAAAATTCAACTTAATGTGCACAAAAGTGAAAAAATGCTGATAAGTGTGTTCAAGGGATAGGCTGTTTCACATAAATGAATCATTTTGATGAGGGAGCAGGGGGCGGGCTGAGGACAAAGTGCAAGCTAGTGCACC